CCTGCTGAAGATCAGTGAAAATACAATGCTATCAAATTCAAAAATCTTTTTCCATTTGCAATGTTTTTTTGAAATTCTGCTCATCATTATATATTGTGAGAAGCTAGTTAGCATTGTTTAGGCTATGTAATATGACCATAGATGTAGATAACTACTGGAGGATACAGAAAGCCTTATGTTATTAGGCTATAACTTACTACTGCTTAAGGTCTTACCTCTTAAAAATTATCAAAGTACTTCTTTCCTTTAGAGTTTTATATGTCCTATTACAGTCTGTATAATTCTTAAATATCACAAAATGGTCTAATCTTCCTCCAAAATGTACTTGGTTGCAGAATGAATTTAATACCATTTATGCTGTGATTTGGCTTTATAAACACTGATAAGTTATTTCAGTTCACAGAACACATATTTGTATTAATTTTGCCTTGAAAACCTATCTGAAATATGTATGCTGAAGCTTAGCAAAAATTGAGTGACATACAAATTAACAGTCGGTGTCTGATGAAAATGTAGGGTAAAAAACAGAAGGATATGCGTGTTGGGGAAGGTTTTAGTGCTTATTTAGTTTAGTATTGCCAAACTGCTGCATATCTGTTTTGTCCTTTTTTTTTTTTAAAGGGTTTGTTTGGTTAAATAGAAGTGAATGGATTTGTGATAGGTAAAATTGACTTACCACTTCAGCTGTTAGACCACTTCTCTAATTTTTTTCTGTAGCTGAGAAGGTCATAGCTATGAAGATGAGTTCTGAAGCCAAGCTTATGCCTTCAAAACAGATTAGTTATTTTTAATGCATTCTCTTTGTTTCTGAAGACAGACTCCTTTTGCTCATAAGGATGCATTGGAGAAATGTTAAATTCCTCAAGATTTATACAAAAATGTTTGATCTGTACTATACTAAATCAATATTAAGCATAATTTAAGGCTTCTTTATATTTTTCTCACCAATGCATCTCCTCAAGCCCTGTCTGCTGTCCCCTGTAACAGCTTCCTAAATTCTGCCTATACAATTTCTCCCCACAAACCCTATCCCCCTTCTTATCACTTGTTCTCAGCTGTAGCCTGTTTTGTATGAGAGTGGGTAATCTAGCAGACAGTAGGTGGCTGAGTAGAGACCTTTTCTACCTGTGCTAGTGTAATATATTGGCAGAGTGTGGAGTATGTCCCCCTTTGATGGCTGTTTCACTCGAAAATAACAATCTTTTAGTGCTGCTGATTGTGGAATTACAACTTTAGCTTGTTGACCCCACACAGTTCTGAAAATGAGTATCTCTGATTGTGCTCACTGCCTACTCCTTTGTAAGTGCCCATTCTTCAGCATGCAGGTATTCTGAATACCCAACCAGGCCGACTGAAAATTGTCAGCATATGCATTTCTTCTTTGTACCCAGGATGCACTTATATATGTGGATTTAGGTCCACACAAACCTCTTAATTTATATTTTGTTTTTCTTACTTATCTCACAAGGGTTGTATAGGGCTTACTGGGAAAATATGTGAGATACTTGCAGAGCTTCTAATAGAACCCAGGAGCTCTGGCTCCCACTTCTTTTCTCTGTCAGCTATACAACACTACTTTTCAAGTGTCTATTAGATTATCTGGATCTTAATTTTGTTAGGTGATATCCCAGTTTATACTTTTTAAAATAAATTAGTTGCATTTTTGCTCAATATTAAGACAAATATTATTCACCAAACTACCATTAAAAGTCAGACTTTAGAAAAGTTTTCCTAGCAGTTATTTTAGTTTTAAATACTGAATAATCACTGTTTCCCATATATAATAGAGTCTAATGTGTCTCCATATAATCTCAGAAATCTGTGGCCTCAAGACCAGCATGACAGCTTTGTGGTATTTTATTGTGTTTGCCCCAAGGGATTTTGAGTTTGTGTCCTTACTAAGTTCACTTTTGAGTGCAGACAATGTTCTTAGATCCTGTGGAGGGATACATAATTCATATCCCTTTACACAGAATATGTCTGCCCACCCACAGAAGTAGTTTTGAACACGTAATTGAAGGAGCTACCACATCACATTTTCTTCATCTAAGCCAAGGTCAGAGCAATGCATGGTCTATGGAAGGAGAGGGATTCCAGACGATCCTGTCAAGAAGATATCACAGTCAACAGTAGCAGTGCTATCTAATGGTGCTGTTGCATGTAATGCTTTGGTTTCTTTATGAACATAAGAATGGCCATACTAGGTCACACCAAAGGTCCATGTAGCCTAGTATCTGGTCTTCTGACAGTGACCAATGCCAGATGCCCCACAGAAAGTGAACAGAACAGGTAATCATCAAATGATCCATCCCCTGTCATCCATTTCCAGCTTCTGACAAACAGAGGCTAGGAACACCATTCCAACACATCCTGGCTAATAAGCAGGGCTCGACAAATCAGATAATCCGTGGTGAATAGATTTCAGCCAGGCGCCCTGTTCACTGGTGGCGTGCGCATGCGCAATGTGGGTCTTGGGTATGCACAGTGCAGGGCTGGCGAGTAGATTTTGCCGCCATTTGTCAAGCCCGGCTACTAAGTATTGATGGACCTAATCTCCATGAATTTATTTAGTTCTTTTTTGAACCCTGTTAAACTCCTGGTCTTCACAACATCCTCTGACAAGAAGTTCTACAGGCTGACTGTGTGCTGTGTGAAGAAAAACTTCCTATTGTTTGTTTTAAATCTGTTACTTATTAATATAGCTGATACTAGAAAAATGATTCTTATATATTTATTTTGTGCTCTGTTTTCTTCATTATTTCTAGGTAATTTGAAAGAAGCAATAGATGATGCTAACAAGGCTGTTGAGTTAGACCCTGTGAACCCTGTAAGTAACAGTGACATGAATTGCATGTTCTACTCCCTAATATACATTGTACGTGGTTTATTCATACGTAATTTTACTCTTTTCTGGGAATTATGCACAAAGCTAGTCAGTGCTAACATATCCTCTATCTGTTACATCATTTTCCCCCTTTGGCACGTCTACACTCAGGGCCGGCTCTAGGTTTTCTGCCGACCCAAGCAAAAAAATTTTTGGCCGCTCCCCGCCGCCCCTTTTTTGTTGGCTTTTACACATGTTTGTACTTTGCAATGATTTTTTTTCATTTTTGTCCTGGCATTTTTGTAGGGGAGCAAGGTGTAGGGCGCAGGGGTGGCGCAGGGAACGGGCAGCGCAGAGCCAGAGGGGCGCAGGGAACAGGGAGAACAGGTGGACTGGAGTGCAGGGGAGCAGGGTGCGGGGCAGCACGGAGCCAAAGGGGCAGGGGCAGGAGCAGCGAGTCGGGCGGCCAGTAGGGAGCAGTCTCTTGCCGGCGAAGGGGGCTGGGGCCGCGGCAGGCAGGGTGGCTTTTGGCGCTGTCTACACAGCAGGAAGTCAAAAGAAGAACAATCTTTCTTCGACTTCCCTTACTCCTCGTGAAATTAGGGTTACAGGAGCTAGAATAAGAAGTCCTCCAGTTCCATACATACAAGATGGGAAGCGACTGTCTAGGAAGGAGCATGGCGGAAAGGGATCTAGGGGTCATAGTGGACCACAAGTTGAATATGAGTCAACAGTGTGATGCTGTTGCAAAAAAAGCAAATATGATTCTAGGTTGAATCAACAGGTGTGTTGTAAGCAAAACTCGTGAAGTCATTCTGCCGCTCTACTCTGCACTAGTTAGGCCTCAGCTGGAGTACTGTGTCCAGTTGGAGCAGGGTGCGGGGTGCAAGGATGGTGCAGAGCCAGAGAGTCTCAGGGAACAGGGTGTAGGGGAGCAAGGTGTAGGGCGCAGGGGTGGCGTGGGGAACGGGCAGAGCGGAGCCAGAGGGACGCAGGGTGGGATAGGTAGAGCGAGCCGGGCGGCTGGCAGGGAGTGGTCTCTCACCGGCGAAAGGGGCTGGGGCCGTGACAGGGCTGGAGCCGGCAGGGCGGGGAGGAGCCTGGCCG